CTGCTACTCCTTTCAGTCTTCGGGTCTTCAGTCTTTGCATTGTTCATATTGTGGCATAACCTTTAAAAGAGTCAAGAATTCAGACGGGTTTTTTTAGGCTAGACACGCGAGTTTTTCAAAAGCGAAGTTAAAGCATGAGATTAATTAATTTTATATTTGATAGGTGTTTTTTAACAAGGTCTTTGAACCGGTGATACCTGGTTATGGTTGAGATTAATGTCATTTTGCTGCGGTGACGCTCGGATTGATTTGAAAATATGTTTGGACATTTATAAGCTCATTGCGTCCTATTTCCACCGGAAATGTCAACCGGACTGCAATTTGAACTTATTTGACGCAATAAATCACACTACTAACTTTCAACATACGCGGAATAATTGAACTAATATTCTTTGCGTTATAATTTTTAATTTTTTTTAATAATTTTAGGTTTTATTATATTTTTTGTGTGTATTTTGATTGCGTCTGCTTTTGTCACCTTAATGTGCGCCGTTGAATGGCCGAGTTTCCGCGCGTTGGACGGAAAAACGCTTCACATGTCTCCTGACGTCCACAGCGTCCGAAGAGATTTGTTAACTTCTCCTTTTTGCGCGCTCCGTTCATTTTTTCTGTTCTCTTTTTGCGCGCTGCTGACGCTGACAACTGTCGCAAAACATAATGGTGATGCGAGGCGCGAGAAGAAAGGTCTTCGCGCGTCTTCCAGCCATCTGGACGCGCAGCGCGAAACGCGAGCTTCTTCTTTCATTCTTTCCTCCCTCATAATAACCTAATAAATTTCCGCCCACTTGCTCCGACGCGCTTCAACAATGTAACTACTGTTTAAATCGACTCATTAGTAAATGAAGCAGAAGCGAAGAAAGAAAGGAGGACGATGGGCATTGTCACATCTCGGTTAAATCATAAAAGTTACGGCGGACGCGATGAAGGAATTGCACGAAATTACCCGAATTGCAGCACGGCGTAAAGTGAAGTCAAACAATGAGCGAATGTCATGTCCGACTTGTTTTCTCTGATTGTCTTCCAAACGACAAATAAAATAAGAGTCAAATGAATTGCAACGATCATCCGGGAGACGGGAAATTTTTGTAGGTTAGGAAACAAAATGGCGACGACATTGTCCTACATTGTCTCCGGTTGTTCGAAATGAACTCGCTTTCCTCGCCAGCGCACATAAAACCTATCTTAATAAATATCTTAATAGTAAAGCAGTCGAACGTCGAGCGTCGCATCCGATTGTTGATACATTCCTTCACTTTGCTCGTCGGAATTTTCGTTTGCTTGTTTTGTCTCTTTGTGACATTGTACCAATCGCTCAATGTGTAAGTCCTTCCATCCAGCGTTAATAAATAAAACGCTAAAACGCCGTGCGCTGCTCAAGATGGAAGTGGAAGTGGTTGAGGAGCGAATGTCGGCGTGTTTTTCATTTAAAAACAAATTAGTATCGGGCCGGCTTTCACCTGGACTGAGCGATTCCGGCGTGACGGCGGCGGCGTCGGGAGATCCGCCATCAATCAATGAGTCATTTCCGTAGCTTTCAGGAAATGAGGAGGAGCGCGTGGAACGTTAGACGTCCGCCGCCCCCAAAGTGAACTTTTTATATTCTCTTTTTTATTACGCTAAAAGAAAGACGAAGGAAATAATTTTAGCGAAATTTAATTAAATGTTTCATTTTATATTTTATTTTATTTTTTTAAAACCGGCAGATAAAAAATTGTTTATACGAGTGTTGTTTGTGTGTTTACACAAGTAGAAAATGGACTTATTGAAATTTTATTCAAAGTCGCAAGTCAAAATTGATGTGATGTTATCCGGGACGCGAGTGAACTTCGCCGCGCGCGCACTAGATTTATATGTCAAACATATTTATGCTTTATAGTAGGCGAGGACGTATGAATTCGGCTAAATTCGCGAGAGCGCGCGCGCGCATTTTCCTCTCGCACGTCCTGCCCGCGTTGAGCAATAATGTAGAATGAAAAATGCGCGTCCATTTTCGCTCTACGTCAAGTTACGTGTGCTTTATAACGGCGCAAAACCTACAAAACTCTAGTGGAAAACGCTGTAAACGTGCCGCACATTCACTACCCAATACAGGCAACCAACAATACACACACTCATAAGCTTACTATGTGCAACCAAATTTACAACACAACACGATATGTACGCTCGTGCGCCGCGCGCTCGGCACATATGCAGCACAATCAACAAACGCGTGCAACGTTATATAAACTTATTCCGGCGGGTTGCGTGTCGCGTATTTTCCATTTCCAGCTGCGAGACGAGCCCAGAAAGGATTTTCACATCCTCCCACTTTTCCCATTTCTTATTTTCTTTTTTCTATTTGTATGTGAGTGTGTATGTTGCTTTTGCTGCAAAGCGAGTCTTTAAATTCGCCGCGTGTACAATGAATGCACGACGAGTAGTTGTGAAGATGTTACGTCTATCCGCAGCCATCGTCAAACAAGTTGTAGGCAAGAGCTAGTGTACTTTGCGCCGCACGCCTTCGAGTTATCGAGTCGTAGTTGTCGGGTGTTGTTGGCGCGCTGTGAAAGGAAAAGATCTTTGCGGAAAACGGGGAGCATAACTGCCGGGTTCGGTCGCCCGTCGTCGCTTCGTATGCATGCGCGAAAAAGGAAAATTGATTTGAGAAATCACTTATTCCCAGAAGTAAAAAATCCGATTCGAACGTGTAATAAAATTGCTACAAAAATAGATGGATCTTGTAAGCTCCCCGAGAAGAAACTTACTGCGAGCGGAGAAAAATATACAATCACATACAGTGTGGTTAAATTTTTATTTATTTTCATTTATAAAATATTTTAACAAAAGAATGCCGAGGTCAACGTCAAGTCAATCCCACGGTTTTTTTTTTTTCGGTTGGGTTGAGAGATGATTTTTTTAGCCATTTCATAATAACAGATGATTTGTATCATCTTGCGTCGTCGAGACCAAAGAGGTCTAACCACCAGCCGCTGCCGATTTTTTGTTCTCCCCTTGTGACTGTCTAAAGGAGCGTGAACGCCACTTGGTGGATGCGCCGGGCATGCACAAAGAACGCTTGCCGCGGATCACAATGGCGCGTGATAAACCCATTGTGTGGGCGCACAATAGTCCATCAACACGACACTGCCAGGTTACACTTTCTTGCTCTTGCCAATTGGAATAACCACCCACACACACACACTATATGTATATGTATTGCTTGTTGGAAGCGGCGAAGATCTCCTAGGAGGGTAGGAAGACACAATTGCAACTTGAGTCGAGTTGGTCGTCGGTCGTTGTTCGGCATTACGTCGTACTGCAGTGCGCTGGGTTATCCGCGGTAGTTGTCTCACCGCCCCCCGCGCCCACGACAAAACGCTTGTTCTCGGCGCGCATTTACATTTGCGGGAAACTTGCTTACGGAATTCGTGCAAGAAACCGATCTCCGCCCCTCCGTGTGCCGGCGTTTGACAAAGTGTACACTATTAATTTTGCACCGCCGCCACCGCCTCCGCCAGAGACGCCTTAATTTATAGCAAACGAATCAATTTTGCTAATTACTAGGAAGCGCGTAGCGAATTTCGACCGAAAGCGGAAAGAAACTGAGTGAGGTTAAGATTAAAATGTCTGACGGCTAGTTTATCACCTACTCACCGTGAGATGTCACTTTGTAAACACTTTCAGGAATAATTTACCAAGTGGGAAACATGTTTTAAATAAAATAGTAAAAGATGCACTCTTGCATCGTAAGAGATGGTTGTTTTTGGGTGTAGTTGAAGGAGGGGTGGTCGCGCTAGACGCGGTCGAGTGGTTTCGAAACTTTTCACCGTCTGCAGCGACCGTAATGTGTTTCGCAGCGCGGAAAATAAAAGCCAAAACTAAATGTTTCGGAATGAAGGAGGCGTTTTAATGCCATCCGCATAATTACGAGTCTCTCCGCTCTTCCGGAAAATTCGCAGCTTTTAACGCGTTTTTAAACGCCAGCCTTAATTGTGGCACGCAATTACTGGCCAATTATTTCGTCATTAAACACTTTAAATATATATTTGCGTAAACGCGTAACGAACGCGCGCGTCAACGGTGGAAACAAGCAACAAAAATTGTCGGAACGAGAAAAAAACAACTCAATTAACGTACATTCTCGTACATGTACTATCTATTTGTATTCGCGGTGCTCAAAATGGCCGACGACAAACCGGCGATGACGTAACCGTCACTAACAAACTGTTATCGACGGTTGTATCTTGATATCCGATTCGAGATACACGCGCGCGTGGCACACTCTGTCTAACGAGACCGAGCGGGTCGACACGACGAATATTCTCTTCACCCGAGCGTCGGTGTGTGTGGCTTTTATTTTTTATTTTTATCATTACGACGATGCCATGCTGATATTGCGCTCGTTTATCATGTCTTGTCACATCGTGTCTTGTTCATTCTCACTCTCGCAGCGCACGCGACAGTGCAGCGGCTTTTCGGCCGCACAATACAACGTTAAATATTGAAATTACAATGAGATTACCATTATAGGTTAGGGGTTCATTATATTACATTGGTGGCTATTTACCGTAATGCAGTAATGATTCAATAATGTATAGTTAGGTGGCGCTGCTCGCTTAAAATTGATGGGCCGAATGGCTGAAATTTAGCATTTTCGGAAAATCAAACGTGAGTTATTATTCATCGACACGGAAAAGCTTTACGCCAGCCCGAATCGAATGCCATAACAAATCGATTCGATTTAATTATCCGCGATGAAATTCGGCGTCCATTATATGCGCGGCGAGCGTCCCCACGCCGGCGACGCGTGTGCAACAGATCTGGGATCGCCGGACGTGTTTGTTTAATGCGCCCAAACACGCCAAACACGCGCAACACCAACAAGGCACATATTGTGTTTTGGGGGTTGCCTATACTATGTCGAATAGCGAATAGCTGCGAGCGTACATGTATGTCTAGGTATTGTTGATGTCCGCATTGGCATTGTGCTATAATGGGCGCTCTCCTGTTATTTGTTACAGCCGACAAACTTCCGCCCGGTTTTCCGCAAATCACGCAGCCGCCGCAGCAGAACAAGGTCGTCGAGGTCGGCCACAGCGCCATGCTCAACTGCCAGGCGACTGGCAACCCACCGCCGAAGATCTACTGGGTGCGCAACATGCTACCCATCGATCCGGCCAACAACCCACGCTATACCATCGGCGAAGGTCAGTGTCATATTGTATTACATTACATCCTAACCTCAAATATCCTCTATCATTCATTTTTCTCCCTGGTAACCTCACGTTTTACATATTGAGGTTAAATATGTGTTATGAAGGCTTGTTGTTGTTTAGGAAGAAAACAAATTATCCAGGATTAGGGTTTTTTTTCCTCCTCATTTTGATCTGCAGGTTTTGTTTTCGGTGGCTTTTTGCTGTTTTCTCCCTTAACTAAATTTCGCCACAAGCATGTAGGATGTGATGAGGCATGCAGATCTATGATGAAAACGTGCCGGCGTCGGTCGCGCGCAAAAACATGTTTTCGTGAGTTTTCCTGAATTTTCTTTTCATAAATTTTATATGCGGCCGGGATAAGCGATCCGCAGGTAGTAAGATGTGTGTAATATAAGCTTCCCCCGGATTACTCTCGCATCTTATGTGCGCGCCTTGCATATTGATTCCCACCTACACGCGACGCGGGCGGAAAATTTCCACCCGTTCAATGTGCGCGTCCCAACTAACGCCGTGCGCGCTCGCTAGCCAGGCTAGATACAGTCGCGCGAATACTAAAATTCGACTTTGGCATCTCCTCCGATGGTACTTAGTTGCTCTCTATAGGTGCAGTGAATATGCAGCCGGGAGATTCAGATAAAGCCAATGCACATCCTCTTCACACCCGCCAACACCAACATTTATCGAACTGCAAGGATTTGTCTCTTATACTCATGTGTGTGGCGTGGTGTGCGGTGGAGCTAAACGAGAATGGCCGGAATAAAGTTTTCACTTCGTCGCCATGTTCTTCTTGTTCAGTTTATACGCGACCGTTTGCGATATCAAAAGTCTTAAAATTAAAGCGTCGATGATTTTTATTTTTCCGTTGCGAAGGCAAGAGGAGAACATAGAAATTAATGAGAGTCTTGTTACACTCGTCCTCTTTCATCGCTTTGGTTTGCCGAGGATTGTCGGGCTCGCGGCGATAGTCTTTCAAGGTTCCTGCTCCCGCTCGCACTTTGCAACACAACAAGTTTTTATCTCTTCGCCTCGCAGCTATCTGATTTAGTGGACTTCGTCGAGTTTTAGTTGGATATAGAAAAGTTTCGTTATTACATTTCGTTCCTTGATTTCCTTTTTCTTGTAGATCTTTCGCTCCTATTCAGCATCGAAAGATTCACACCGTGAAAGACTAAAAGACCCAAAGACTGAAAGTTTTCAACAAGTATGGGGAAATACTATACTTTTCTACATGCGCCAATGCATTGTTGAACGGTGTGTGAGGAAAAAAAACCTCCAAGGAAACACAGTACAAAACAGGATAGTAGTCCTCGGGGAGGTGGGAGGCATTATAGTTGGATGATTGAGTCACTAGAGTCAGTACTCCTTCTTCATTCCGTCACGTCCTCCACGCCCAAGTGCTTGTTTGCCTACTTGTTTGTCACCATTGCTGCATCCCTTGATATTGAAGTTTTCTCCCTCGACGCACCTCTCGGGACCATTAGCCAAGTTGGGGTAACAACAGATCCATACTCCTTGCAAATGCACCGCCTCCGCCTCTCTTCTATCACCTTCACAATGCCGGGATTTTATTGGGAAAATGTGTTGTCTGTGTGTTACAGGAAAATTCCAAATAAAATCCAGCGAGGAGAAGGATCAAGGGAAGTACGAGTGCGTCGCCGAGAACGCCATCGGCACCGAGTACTCCAAGTCCAGCCAGGTGTACGTTAAAGTACGCCGGGTTCCGCCACAGTTTTCCAAACCACCAAATCCTGTTAATGAAGTCATGCTCGGTGCTGATCTTAACCTAACTTGTGTGGCTGTTGGATCTCCTATGCCGTTTGTTAAATGGCGTAAGGGTGCTGTACAGGACCTCACACCGGAAGATAATCTACCGGTTGGAGTTAATAATCTTGTGTTGACTGATATTCAGGAGTCAGCGAATTACACTTGTATTGCTGCTAGTTCTTTAGGGATTGTTGAAGCTGTTTCACAAGTTAAAGTTCAATGTAAGTGTTTTTACTTATGTATGTGGTCAAGGGTCTTAATTTTAAAATTTATAAAATTAGCATTGCCTGTGGGACCAACAAATGTACGAGTTTCCGAGATTACGGCAACCTCTGTGAGGTTGACATGGTCGTACGATGGACCCGACGATCTTCAGTACTACATCATTCAGTTCAAGCCCAAGTATGCGAATCAGGCGTACAGCGAGATTTCCGGCATCATCACGATGTACTACGCTGTCCGGAATCTGAGCCCTTACACGGAATACGAGATGTATGTGATTGCGAATAACAATATCGGGAGGGGACCTCCAAGTGCACCTGCGATAGTCACCACTGGGGAAACAGGTAGGATCTGTATAGATGTACAAATCGTAAAGATATATATTTATTTAAACAAAAAGTGGGCCATTGGATAATTAAATGTTGTTGTTTTGTTTCTTTGGATTCTATTTTTTTATTCCTTTCAAAGCTGATGACATAACCCTCTTAACTTTTCTCTCTTTCTGTTTTTATTTTTATTTGGATTGTTGTGATGTGAACATTTGCTCTACCTTTTTTTTAAAACTTTTCTGTTTTGTGGTTTTATATTTTTGAAACTTTTGTAACTCTGTGGTTTTATTTTCCAATGAATGCTTTATAATGTTTACGAAACCGATTGTTTTAATCTTTTCATGCAATCGCTGCCGCTGTGCATTGCATTTGCGGATAACTCATGCTTAATGTAAGTTGCCATTAAAACAAGATTGTGAGATTTTGGAATTTTTTCTCTATCGTTTGTAAACTTGCGCTCGTTGATTGGTGTGTTCGCATTATACACACGTATTTTCCGTACTTTCTGTGCGCCTGCGCGGCTGTGCGACATTACATTACAGTTTGTTTGAGTATGGAGTTTTGTTCAGTCGTTTAAATTGCTTCCAACTTTTCTTTCGAGAGCGCACGCCGATTTAATGCCCAAGTTGGGGAAGGGGCAACGGAAGTTACGAAACCACTCAAATTACGTTAGCCGCCTTAACGATGTAAAAAACCGAAACCGATGAAACTGTAACAAACTAAAATCGAAACCTGCTCAACATTTGATCGTCAAACAACATCAAATATTTATGATATTGCTCGTGTTTGCCTGTTGAGACTTAAGTGTGCGGGCGTAATGTGCATTTTTACTAATATTTGCTTTACTCTTTAGCTGACTTTCTCTTTGGAGGTGCCAGTAAGTGTTTACTAACATCATCAAGACGTCGAGTGTATCATTCGCCATTAAGTGCCCGCATTCAAAAATAAAACTATCGATTACATAAACCGACGTTGGTTAATTTGTTCTTTTTTCTGCACATATGTGAGCAATAAAAAAACCACCAAATGTACGTACCTAATGGCAAGTGACACACTGTAACGTAGAATGTATTACCAACCCGCGAGGTCTAATCGAACAACAAACCCATTGCGATGGGCTTTGTCGTGCGATAGTGTGCGGTTTGCACGACATGCATTAAGCTAACGGCCGTTTGCACGATAATGGCCTTTGGTGCTGCTCGCGCGCTACCTGCTTACCATAACAATTTCCTGCATTTTCAGAACCGGGAACCGCTCCCAAGAACGTGCAGCCAAAGCCGCTCAGCTCCAGCACGATGGTCGTGCAGTGGGACGAACCGGAGACCCCCAACGGCCAAGTGACCGTAAGTAAAACATAATGATGATAAGCTTTCGGCTCTCCCCACCCGAATGCAGCCGCCCGACGACGTCTGCATCCCGGTGATCCCAGCTGTTTGCATATCATTACATTTGATTATACGCAATACACACGCGTGAGTTTGCGCAGGGTTACAAGGTGTACTTCACCGACGCGCCCTCGCAGCCGATGACGCAGTGGAAGTCGCAGACCGTCGACAACAACCGCCTCACGACCATCAGCGACCTCACCCCGCACACGATCTACACGATTCGTGTGCAGGCGTTCACCTCGGTGGGGCCGGGCCCACTTAGTGCACCCGTGCACGTTAAAACGCAACAAGGTAAAACCCACTCACCAATACTAGTAGATTTTTATGTTTATTACATCTTAACATACACCTACTTAATGGTTTCGCTGATTTTTTTCAAAGGTGTACCGTCTCAGCCGAGTAATTTACGCGCGTCGGACATCGGTGAAACGTCCGTGACTTTGCAGTGGAATAAGCCGGCGCATTCGGGCGAGAACATTGTGAATTACGAACTGTACTGGAACGATACGTACGCGAAAGAGAAGCACCATCGGCGGATCGGGCTTACCGAAAGCTATCAGCTGATGGGCTTGTATCCGAACACTTTGTACTACGTGTGGCTGGCGGCAAGATCGCAACGCGGCGAGGGTGCCACAACCCCGCCGATCCACGTGCGCACCAAGCAGTATGGTAAGAAATTGGCGCCGCCATTTGCAAACAAATACAACAAATGGCGCCCAACAGTACGGTTGTTACGGTGATGGGTAAAACGCGCGGCGGAAAATAATTTTCGAAACGGAAATGAGAAATCTAATTTAGGGGAAGCAATTGAGAAAGAGTATGAATGGCTTTTTGAGCGCGTGTGATACGGTGTGTGATATGGTGTGTCGTGCTGTGCTGAGTGATTGCATAAGTTTGTGTCTGTGATATTGCATTGCATGCCGTAATGACTAGCGATTTGTCTTTATCTCTATACGTGGATATTAATTTTTAATTGATTTTATATTGATTTTGAGTTTGTGTTGATATAATCGAGCACTGCACTTGGTATTGATTTTTTGCATTCTATATGATCGATGATATATATATATATAATATTTTCATTTTCCCGTCACACAATTCTATCTTAAACTAATGAGAAGTGGTGTCTCTATTTCGATCAAACATTCAACAAACAAACAACTCGGCGATGATTTCAACCATATATAGGGTTAGGAAATGTACAATGTAAAATGTTGGCTTTTAATATCCACGACGTGTGTAAATATTATACCACTCGAACACGATGCGCACGGCAGAGCGTGTGCATCGTGTTCTCCCGCTTGTGGCTTTGGCTAATCGCAAACACGCCGCCGTAGTACCTGGCGCACCGCCGCAGAACGTGACCGGAGAAGCGGTAAGTCCCACGTCCATCCAAGTCAACTGGGAGCCGCCCAGGGAGAGGAGCTCGGGGAAAATCATTTACTACAAGCTGCACTTTGTCGAAGCGGATCGCTCCGACAGCGAGGCCTCCGTCAACAAGCTGAACGCCACGAGCTTCGTCCTCGACGAGCTTAAGCGCTGGACGCAGTACCGCATCTGGGTCCTCGCCGGCACCTCCGTCGGGGACGGGCCCGCCTCCTTTCCCATCACCGTTCGCACCCACGAAGATGGTACGTTGAATTCAAAAACATTGCAAACAAACCCATTTATGATTTTGTTTTCGTTTATTTTTTGATCGCAAGGAAAAAACATCAAATTTACTTTTTTTTAAATATTAGTAATCAGTTATAAATATTTTAAAAATTGTTGCAAAATATAAAATTTGATGTTTTTGTCCTCATGAATAATAATATTTACAGGAATTTAAAAGTCCCTCTATCATGACTCTTGATACGTCCCTGTAAACAAATATTTTGGTAAAGGTAGTTTTTGTTTTTTTGGATTTTGTCGGCCTTTGAAATATCCAACCCTTCATAAACTTTTTTTGGTTTACCAACCAACAACAACAACCCCTAACATTGTTTGTCTTTGGTTTGACTTTTGTTTGTAGTACTTACCGTAGATTTTTTGACATGCCCGCAGTGGTATGTGATTTTTTCCACTTTTTCACACCATTGCAGCTCGACCGCAGGGGAAGGATTTTTGAACGTTGAAGTTGTAGTGTCTGTAGAACACTGAGATTTTTCGAAAGGACTCACAGAGAAACGTTTTCAACTTGTGTGTGCGTCTTTTTTCTCTTGCAAAGTAATTTTTAACTTTGGCAAATAAACTGTTTTTTACACAATCATTTTTGATTCTCTGTGAGTCTTTTGTGTTTTGTGATTTTGTGATTTGACGATTTTTTACAGCAAAACGTATTTTTTATAATGAATTTTTCACTAACTTTGCTGACTGATTTGTGACCGATTTGTCATGTTGATAACTTAACAAATGACTAACGTTTTTAACGTTTTTTCTTCTGTCTACAAAAGCGTTTGAAGGAGCAGAGAACCACTGAGGTTGTTTTTTGAATTTTTACACTATGAATCTCTCTGTAATGCAAATGCAAATTTTATCTGCGCACATATTCTATTATTATTATTATTCTTGATTGATTGATCGGGATGAGCTATCTAAACTAGAAGAAAATAACCAGATCTCAATTAATCACGCTCAGTTTTCGTGATCTAGCGAAATTTGATTACATTATGATTGTGTGAAGATTTTCGTTTGTTTAGTTGGTTGTAATTGTTAGCTACTCACGTTCACATGTAATGATTGCTTTTTGGGTTTTATTGGTTTTCTGTCTCTTTTCGTTTCGACTCACCACGTTTTATTTTTTGGCACAGAAATGCATTGCAATGGCGCACCGTTTTTTGAGTCACGAATATCTATATATATATTGATAAGCGGCACCGTTTTTTGAACTTTTTTCACGAAACTTTTTTACGTTTTGAGTTGACCACACGTTTTTTGATTATTCGTATCGTTACTGTTCTATTTTCGAAAGCACCGTTCGTTTTTTACGTACTTAGATATTGACACTCCACGCATGCTTTGACTTTTCCACCGAAAATATCGCCTTTCACCTGATTACCTGCGCAACGCAAGAAGCACACGCATTCCAACATCAATAATGCACCCTATTGCTACCCAATATGCACCACCATCGAAAGTGTGTGTTTGTATATCCAAATGTTTGTGGATGCGTGTGGTTGTTGTTGATTATTTCCTTAAAATATTTGTCCACCACAGTCTCGCCTCGCTGTAGGCCGCACCAATCACAGTAGGATGACATGGCGCACTATCTCTATATAAATGAATATGGCACATTTTTTCAATATTTATATATATTTACATAATATTGAATCACGTTTGTGTGAATACTCTACACTTGCACCGTTTATGTGTATGACTGCGTGCGTGTGCAAAGCGATTTGCGAATTTCCTGCGACTGCTGATGATGCTGAATTTATGCCGAACATTGGAGATGATTATTGCTAACAGCATTTAAATAATGCGATTGTGTCGCCTCACATTTGAATACCAATACCAAAAATATTCGACAACTGAATAACCGTTCGATTGTTTTGTCTTTCGTTTGTTTCACCATCATCCATTTGTTTCGATTTGTGACTGAATTCTCACAGCGATTTCATGCGTTTTAGTTCGAAATTTTGTTTTCGTTTACTGTGATTTACCACTCATTGCATGCGTTTGGGGTAGCACTAGAAAATTTTTCATCATTTTGTGCGTGTGTGTGTGTGCGTGCGTATATCTCATTAAAGTATGTTGCTAAATTTCACGATTTCAGCCATTTTGATGTAACATTTTAGGGGTCTTGTTGCCCGAATTCTGTGTGTTCATCATCACATTTTGTCTAATGTAGAATTTTTCATCTCATCATATTTATTTAAGGGTTTAAAGGCAAAAAATGTAAGTTCTGTGTCCTAATGAATTACGAAACGGTGCAAACGACGTCCTACAAAACCAAAACACTAACTAGTTGCAACACTCAACACACACTCTACTTACAAACTCTGCGTCCTTTTCAATGTTTTTTACATTTTTACAACCCCCTAAAACATTTTATGACCGGGTTTCAATTTTTTTCAACACAGATTTTTTAACTGTATTGTTTTTTCGCCGTGTGCGCAAACGGGGCCGGCATATTTTTACATGTGTGTGTGAGTATAAACCGATCTCAGTCGGATCGCAGAGACGAAGAAAACAACAAATCCCTGCAAGCATTTTTGTAGCAGAACATTTTTGACCAAAACGCTAAAAAGAACAAACCGAAGCAAATTTTTGATGTGATTTGTATAGTACTGTAACAGTCTTACGATACTATTTTTTTCTTTTTTCTCTCACTTTTTGCCTTGACACGGTCCCCCACAGTTTTTCAAAGTGAGTATTGACTCTGTGTGTGCACTTTTAGACGGCATTCTTTTTGTCTATTATATATGACCATTCGATTAGAGTATTTTTGTAGTGATTTTTGTGCTTTTGAACGCAAAACATGACAAATGAAATTCGATCGATTCTAACGCAGCAGACACTTTTTTGGAACTTTTCATCGATACGTTTTTAACTAACGATTCTAACCATTCCTATTTTTAACGCATACAATATGCTGGAAGCGCAGGATATTGATCTGATCGTTTCTTTTCAACCATTATGAATTCGGCGAATGCATATAATATGTTTTAATCTCTCCACACCCCCAATGATCCGCTCTATTGTCTATTCGATCCATGTGTGTAGTTGCCTTTGAACGTACACGAGTAGGTATTTGCCCTTTTAAATGTTTACCGAATGGGAATGAGGTAATTATTCAGCGATTAATAAATGTGTTGGTATTCAAATGTCATACCCTGATCAAACAAAAGCGAAAAAGACAAGCAAAATAAAACCGAAACAAAAAAAGTTTTGCTCGACGGCGTGTTTGAGTTGTAATTAACTAGCTACATAATCAAATATAAAAATAAAACAAACACGAGATTTATAACAAACAAACAAAAAAAAAACATGAAAAGTTAGGATTGCATGCTTTTTATCAATTTGATTACAAACTATGTAAAAGGCATTTCGATCGTTTTCATGTTTTTAGTGCGCCCGCCATGGCAGTTTTTAATCTTGCATTATTCCGCAGTGCCCGGTGACCCGCAAAACGTCCAAGTGACGCCGATCAATTCCACCACGCTGACGGTGTCCTGGAGCCCGCCGCTAGCAAAAGACCGCAACGGCATAATTCGTGGCTATCACATTCACGTGCAGGAAACCCGAGACGAGGTAAACACATCAAAGATATCGGCCGGCGCACGCCAAAGTTTCGCAACTTTTTCGGGGGACCACTAATGTTTGCTAACCCTTTTGCGCTTACAGGGCAAGAGTCTGCTGAATGAGCCGATGCGCTACGACGTGCTCGGCGATCAGACGCTCGAGATCAACATCACCGGCTTGCAGCCCGACACCAAGTACTCGGTCCAAGTGGCGGCGCTAACGAGAAAGGGCGACGGCGATCGCAGCCCACCGATAACGACCAAGACGCCGGGAGGTGTGCCTAATCGACCCGCATTAACGCTCAAGTAAGGCGATACCTCGAGCTTAAACTTAAACCCTAACTCCTTCTCTCTTTCTCTGTCTCCCCGCAAATAACCCGCTATAATGGGGTCATTGATTTCTTCTTTATTACAACTTTCTAACTTTGCGCTTATCTCAGGGTGATCGAGAAGGAGCCAACTGTGACGATCGAATTGGAATGGTCCCGACCGACGCAGACCTACGGCGAGCTGCAAGGTTACCGTCTGCGCTTCGGTGTCAAGGACCACGCGCTCACGGAAGTCCTTTTAAAGCATAACGCACAAACGTACAGGATTACCGAGTTGGAGCGCGGCGTCGAGTACGAATTCCGCGTGGCCGGCCTGAACCACATTGGGATCGGGCAGGAAGCCATCAAACTCAAGCACACTCCCGAGGGACCACCCACCGGACCACCGACCAACATTAGCTATCACTTCCAGACGCCAGACGTGGTCTGTATCACCTGGGACCCGCCCACTCGGGAGCAGCGCAACGGTCAGATTATTAAGTACGACGTCCAGTTTCACAAAAAGTCCGACCATAGCAACATCATCGAGCGCAACGTGAATACCACTAAAGCAGTCTTCACTAATCTCGAGGAAAACACCGAATATGTGTTCCACATTAAAGCGTATACGAACCAAGGTGCCGGGCCATACAGCGAAAAAATTTCGGTGGAAACTGAACGTGACATTGGCCGAGCTCCTATGTCAGTTAGGGCCGTAGCTACCTCAGATTCTAGCGTAGAAGTTTGGTGGGAGCATGTCCCATCGCGTGGTAAAGTAGTTGGCTATCAAATTTTCTACACAATGACAGCCGTTGAAGATCTAGACGAATGGCAGCAGAAACCTGTTGGGCTCACCGACAGTGCCGACTTGGTGAATCTTGAAAAGTACGCCCAGTATGCCATTGCGGTCGCGGCGCGTTTGAAAAATGGTTTGGGACGGCTCTCCGAAAAGGTTACCGTCAAAGTCAAACCCGAAGATGTCCCTCTTAATCTAAAAGCGCATGATGTAACTACCCACTCGATGACGTTATCATTCTCGCCACCAATTAGGCTCAATCCGGTTAGTTACAAGATTTCATTCGATGCCGTTAAGGAGTTTGTCGATTCCCAAGGCATAACACAAACTCAAAACATCCCGCGGGTCGAGCACACGCTCAAGTCCTCGGATCGGACCTTCACCATTAACGAGCTGTCGCCGTTCACGACGTACAACGTGAACGTGAGCGCAATTCCTAATGATTATACTTATCGTCCACCGACTAAGATCACGGTCACTACGCAGATGGCCGCGCCTCAACCGATGGTCCAGCCCGACTTCTACGGCGTGGATCATGGCGAGGAGATTCAAGTTATTTTGCCACAAGCCAGCGAGGAGTATGGTCCCATTAGTCACTATTATTTGATTGTGGTGCCCGAAGATAAGACCCTTCATAAGCATCCGGACCAATTCCTCACTGACGATATGATTGCCAGCAAAGGTCAAAAAGGCGAAAACCCTAACGCTCCTTACATCGCTGCCAAGTTTCCTCAGAGAAACATTCCGTACACTTTCCATCTTGGTGATGGCGAGGACGTTGGAGGTTTTTCAAATAGGAAATTGGAACGTGGGAAGAAGTATAAAATTTTCGTACGAGCTGTAGTGGACACCCCACAGAAACATCTCTACACTAGTTCGCCATTTTCTGAATTCTTGGCTTTGGATATGCGGCAGGTGCCACCCGGCGACCCACCAAGGAGACCCGACCCTAACATTCCTACTGATAACGATGTTAAAGTTAGTTCCCAGCACAAAGAAGCAGGAGTTTTCTGGGTGGTTGGCCCAATTATCGCCGCGTTGTTATTGTGTTGTATACTAGTTTTCTTCTTCATCATGAAGAAACGCAGCCAACCGTGTAAGACACCCGATCAAGCGCAGGTTACACGTCCTTTGATAGCAGCTGACTTGAACAGCAGTGCCGCCCCCAGTGACCCAGTTGAAATGCGACGGTTGAACTTCCAAACTCCTGGTATGATATCTCATCCGCCGATTTCAATTGCGGAACTCTCGAACCACATCGAACGCCTTAAAGCCAACGATAACATGAAGTTCTCCCAAGAGTACGAGAGTATCGAGCCGGGGCAACAGTTTACATGGGATCACAGCAACATGGAAGTAAACAAGCCAAAGAATCGCTACGCTAATGTAATAGCATATGATCATTCGAGGGTGATCCTCCAGCCAGAGGAAGGTATCTTGGGCAGCGATTATATCAACGCAAATTATTGCGATGGTTATCGAAAACACAACGCTTATGTAGCAACGCAAGGACCATTGCAAGAAACATTCGCGGACTTTTGGAGAATGTGTTGGGAGCTGCGCACAGCGACTATTGTAATGATGACGAAATTAGAAGAACGTACTAGGATCAAATGTGATCAATATTGGCCTTCGCGCGGAAGTGATACGTACGGATCCATGACGGTCGCCATTACTGACATGCAGGAGTTGGCAACTTACTGCATTCGAACCTTCCAAATTTCTCGTCATGGCAGCAGCGAGCGTCGCGAAATTAAACAACTGCAGTTTACCGCATGGCCCGATCACGGTGTGCCAGATCATCCTGCACCGTTCCTGCAGTTCCTCAAGCGTGTGCGAACCATGAATCCTAATGACTCGGGCCCGCTTGTCGTGCATTGTTCGGCTGGCGTTGGTCGTACGGGATGCTTCATAGTGATTGATTCAATGTTGGAACGCATGCGACATGAGAAATCTATCGATATCTACGGTCATGTCACCTGCCTACGAGCCCAGCGAAATTACATGGTTCAAACCGAAGACCAGTATGTGTTTATTCACGATGCACTTTTAGAAGCAGTCGTTTGTGGCAGTACAGAGGTGTTGGCAAGGAGTCTGCACGGGCACATCCAGAAACTAATGGTACGCGAAATTGGCGAGAACACCACTGGCATGGAGCTGGAGTTCAAGAAGCTGAGCAACATTAAGACTGATTCGACACGCTTCGTCACCGCCAATTTACCCGCGAACAAGCACAAGAATCGCCTTGTGCACATTTTACCTTATGAGAGCACGCGTGTGTGTCTGGCACCGATGAGAAACGTTGAAGGATCGGATTATATTAATGCCAGTTTTATGGATGGATACCGATATCGCAAGGCGTACATTGCCACTCAAGGACCTTTGCCGGACACCACAGATGATTTATGGCGTATGATTTGGGAGCACAATTCAACTATTATTGTTATGTTGACTAAATTAAAGGAGATGGGAAGGGTAAGCGTATTATATATCTGAAACAATGCATTATTAAGAAATAATTTCGATTTCCAGGAAAAATGTCATCAATATTGGCCCAGTGATCGATCAGTTCGATACCAGTGTTTTGTAGTTGATCCAATTGCGGAGTACAACATGCCTCAATACATTCTCAGAGAGTTTAAAATAACTGATGCCAGGGACGGATCGTCGAGGACGGTACGACAGTTCCAGTTCACTGACTGGCCCGAACAAGGTGTGCCCAAATCTGGTGATGGGTTTATAGATTTCATTGGCCAAGTACACAAAACTAAAGAACAATTTGGTCAAGATGGTCCCATCACGGTTCATTGCAGGTATACATTAGTTTAGAATATCAATTATTACGAACTTAAAATATACATTTTATGATTTATTTATTTTAGTGCGGGAGTGGGTAGAACCGGTGTTTTTATAACATTGAGCATCGTCCTGGAACGCATGCAATACGAAGGGGTTGTCGACGTGTTCCAAACAGCGCGGATATTGCGAACACAACGGCCCGCCATGGTGCAAACTGAGGTAAAGACGAAAGTTGTATTTGCACATTTCAATATTACATTATCCCATTTTTGTGTTTTTAGGATCAGTATCAATTCTGCTATCGTGCCGCGCTGGAGTACTTGGGCTCATTTGATCACTACGCCAACTGATTCTAAAATGTCGACACTTTGATCGGCCTCCAGCCAGCGATGGATACGCCAGCTCGCGCGCTACATGCAGACAATAACTGCCAGATTGCTATTCCACTTTTTTGACGCATCCCTCTTCAAGTCCACTCTACTGCCACAATCAACGTTCTTCACATTCAGACATTCAGCTCTCCCCAAAGATTGGAAACGCTAAATCTACAATTTAAATTCGACGAGATATATTCATGAACATCTTCGACGACGCATGCAATGCCGCATTGCTAATAATGTAAATTTCAAATTTAAAGAAAATGAAAATATAGTAAAGAAGAGAATATAATATGAGGTGAGTGGAAGTGTCGCGTGAACTCTGTGCCTACATATTATTCGTTCCACGGGAGATCTCTGAATCTTGCGAAGAATGCCGAAGATGCTATAAGAAATTGCGCAGCTATGTTAATAATGGAGCAGTTAATATTTAAGCAAGGATAATATTGTTGGAAATCGGGCGGGCGCGATTTCGTGCATTGCACCCGCCGCGGAAATTGTAAATGATGTGCACAACTGACGCGAATATTAGACTATATGCGTATACATATTATACTTATTAACGATTCAACTAATTAGCATATCTTATTTTTGTATTGTATTGTGTGATTTCGGTAGGATTGTACAATGTGTACGTGTCAGCATGCAAACAGATTGCCATCTTGAATCTGTTCTCATCACTCATTGTCATTCTTGTCTATGTATGTTTCTAGTATTACTCATTTATATCAAACAATTTTGTTTCAAGAACGTTGCGCGTTGCGAAATGTTTTGACCATTGTATTTGCGCATGCGCACCGCGGATATTAAGCGTATTAAACTTTAAGTAACTAACAACTCTCTCATTAGATTTTATATATTGTCAATAACAATCTATGATTATTTCACTGTTACAACTGCATATCATTAGCTGGTAGGGCTGTAGTATATTTTTATGAACGTGGCACAATCCTATGTACATTTGTTTTCATTAAAATCTCTTCTTAGCCGCTCCGTTTACGTTTTAAGTAAAGTGAAACGCAGTCGAATTCTATCAATTTGAATGTACTTATTTGAATGAAGATATTTCGAATAGAACAAACAAGAATTGCAAACAAAAACAGACGGAATAAGGTAAATAATCTGATACTCGAAATAATTGACTTGTACACTCATGTAATTACTTTTTTTGACTGAAATTGTTATATATATTTTTTGTAACTGGAAGAAATGACGATGAATATGACTCACAACTGTTGTAGCACACGAATGAATGGTGATGAATATTTAGATTATAGTAAATATTCAAATATCTATGATTTAGTTTTGTTTAAGCCGATGTGTGACATTCTTTTTAAAAAATTTAAATAAAAGTGTAACATATATGTTCTGCTTATTATTGTTTATGCTTAAGTATAATCAATTTAGTGGCAAGAATTTCCTGGAAGAAATTGATATTTTACTTTTTATTACAGAATATTAATTAAAACATGATTTTAAATCGTTTATCTTAATAAAATTTTGTTGTAAGATGTACAGTTTTGATAATAATCACTAAATATCTATCTGGTGTCAACTAGATGTTTGCGTCGGCTGCCAACTCTCTTTCCTGCTTAGTCATATGCCTTAGTCGGTCGTGCGCGGTCGTGCCGAGAGCACGTGTTTTGTTCGTCAGTCTGTTTTCGTAGCTATTAATCGCGACTTTAGAACTTTAATTTAGTAATGACATGGGAAACAATTAAATACCGCGAGTGAGTCCTACAGTTAATCAATTATCGCTTGTGTTACCTGATATTAAGTGACTTTATTCCAACATGTCTGCCGTCGGATACCGCCCGGTTGTTGGTTTGTGCTCCTTATTTGCGGCATTCCGAATGCAGGTTGAAGAATTTTATGAAAGCTATGAGTGAGTATTGAAAGTTTTATAGTATCAATTGATTTAAATTTTCATAGTTATCATAAATTTTAATACACATATCAAGTAAATAATAAACCCTATTTAAAAAAACTTATGTTTTGTAAACGTTGATGCAGGAAATTTAGTTTAGTTCAGTTGCTAAATCTTAGAAATGGTATTGCAATTAGGGGAGAGCAGGTAGGATTCGTACAGTAGGAGCATTCGTACAGTCCTTATTCCTACCACTGTAGAATACTTTGACAGGTCTGTGTTTGTGTGCGTGAGACCCACTCGCACGCATAGGTTACTCGCGGGGTGAGACGTCAGTGCAGCCGCCGGCTTCGACGCAACGAGTCGTAACGTGATTTCGCGCCAAGTAAGTATTTTTTGGTTATGTTTTTAAACATCTTTGTTTATTCACGCTTTATTCCTATTGTAAAAGTGAATGTACACAGTTTGTGAAGGAATAACTTAGTTTAGCATGTAAATATAGATTTTGGCCCAGTTTCAGCGGTTATTTTTATTTTCGATATTAATTGTTTTTTTTGGTGTTGGGGAACCTTCGTACAGGTAGGGGTGGGGTAGATTCGTACGTGTACGAATGCTCCCCGTGCCTGACTGGACATTTAAATGTATCTATTTTTCAGTAAAATCTAATATTGTTACAGAACCATGCCGCGAATATATATTAAAAAGGGGACGAGGACGGGAGAGGTAGATGAAGGTGCAATAGAATCGGCGATAAAAGAAGTTTTGGATAAGACATTATCTATTAGAAAATCTGCACAAAAATATGGCGTCAAACCAACAACACTCGAAAGTCGTCTGAAAAAGTTTCATCAACAAGAAGCTGCCGAAAATATGCCTACCCGTGCGTTCACTTCCAAGTTTACGTCAAATCAGGTGTTTTCAACTGAGGAGGAAGCCCTTTTAAACAATTACATTATTGAATGCTCCAAAATGCACTACGGTCTGACGATCATCCAGGTCAGAAAATTGGCATATGAGTTTGCAAAAGCCAATCAGCTTAATTTTCATCCGAGTTGGCATCATAATAAAATGGCTGGTAAAGAATGGTTGGATAGTTTCCGCAGGCGAAACGGAAACCTGAGTCTTAGAAAGCCTGAAAATACCAGCGCCGCTAGATCATTTGCTTTTAACAAGACTGCTGTAACTGATTTTTATAATAACCTTGAAAAGGTTCTAACAAAGTACAAATTTACTTCAGATCGTATTTTTAATTTTGATGAGTCCGGAATTTCCACAGTGCTGAGCACACCTAAAGTTTTAGCTGAAAAGAATCAAAAACAAATAGGCCAACTTGTGTCAGCAGAGAGGGGAGAACTAGTTACATTTGGAGGAATAATTTCAGCTAGTGGTAATACAATTCCACCACTATTTATCTTCCCGAGGGTTCACTTCAAGGACCACTTTATGACAGGTGCACCAGAAGGAAGCCTGGGAGTTGCAACAAAAAATGGATGGATTACTTCTGCTATATTTATAGAGGTACTGAAACACATCCAAAAGAAATCGTCGTGCTCTAAAGATAATCCCATTTTGTTGCTTGTCGACAACCATGAGAGCCATGTGACTATTGAAGCTGTAAACTATGCTCGTGATAATGGGATTATTTATCTATCCTTTCCACCCCACACGACACATCGTCTCCAGCCTTTAGACATCGGAGTATTTGGACCGTTTAAGGCTAAACTCAAGATAGCTTTTAACGATTGGCACGTGAATAACCCAGGCAAAACCCTCAATATATATAATATACCACGACTGGCTAAGATAGCATATTTTGAATCCTTTACTGGTAAAAATATCACTCATGCCTTTGAGAAGGCCGGAATATGGCCTTTTAATAGGTTAGCTTTTGGCGACGATGATTTTGCACCTGTGAATGTACCTATCTTGTTTGTGTCGGTGTCCCCAACTAGATGTTTACGTCGACTTACAACTCTCTTTCCTACTTAGTCGGTCGTGCGTGATTGTATCGTGAGCACGTGCTTTATTCGTGAGTCTATTTTCATATTTGTTAATCGCGTTTCTTGAGATTTTAATTTGGTAGTGACATGGTGGACAATAAATGTTTGGCGTGTGTGGCCTACAGTTATTAAATTATTGCGTTTAATATCTGATATTGAGCGTCTTAATCCTAACATTTGTGTCTGCAGTCGGATACTGTCCGCTTGTTAATAATTCGAATTGAATTCATTATTTTTTTTATTCAACGATTAATTTGTGCAAATAATCACATTTCGTACCAATGTGAAAAGTATGTTACTTGCGGAAGAACAATTACGTGATTGACGTCACTGCAATTTTGAACGTATTAATTACATTTAATATTTATTTGGTTTTCTGTTAGAAAAACAATGACAAAGTACTTTGTAGATTGTATGTACTACAATAAAAGACAATTTAATATTATACTTGTACGTTTATTTATTTTTGTAATCCTCTTTGTCGTTTTCAGAAATCGTTTAAAAATTTATATGTGATTTCATATTCGTATGTGCGTGACGGAACAGGTGTTGTTGTTTTTAAAAACATGATAAAAGTAGAAACATAAATAGAAGAATCAAATAACAATGACAAAAACACTCGGTGGTTGAGTGGAGACGTGCACCTGCTGGCATGCTAGCAGACACGGATCGAATCTCCGGTATAGAAGGCATTTTTCTCAAATATAAAAATATCAGGTGTAATTTGGGTTGCATATATGAATTGCAACGAAATATAAGAGAAATTGGAATACAAGTGAAGGCAATAAGAGAAGTAAGAAAGTAAATGGAGAAACGAGAACAGGGAAAAAGGAGAATAAGAAGTAGAAGAGAAGAGGAGAGAAGAAAGGAAGAGAACAGAGAAGAGAAGAGGAGGAGGTAGAAGAAAGAGAACAGGGAGGATCAGATTTTTGAATTTTTTGGCACGTGTCGTTATAAGACAGTCACAGGTCGCCCACTATTTCGATTCTTCCATTGCTCCCGGCCCATCCTACAGCTACGATGTCTCTGCGCTTCATCCCCGAAATTATCAGGCATATCAACAATTTTTATGGTGGGGGATCACCCCCAGAGAGGGGGAACTACTTATAAGGACAATCCTTATAAGGTCTTGTTCAAATATTTCTAAGTTTTAAGTCGTCTCAAGAGAGGCGACACTTAAAAATATTCTTACAAGTTCTGACCTGTAGCTGAAATGAAAGAAGGAGTACACAAATCATACAGGTTACCTTAACAATTTCTATAGAGGGGATCATCCCCAGAGAGAGGGAACTCTCTTAGAGACCTGTTCCTGAAATGATAGAAGGCGAACACACAAATCAAAGAAGCCAATATATCTTACTATTTATTTATTAACAATAGAATACAAATTTAGATTTTACAAGTCAACGGAATTCGTGCCGCCATATTGGAACAGGACTTACGATCTTCTTAGCCGCGCACATCTAACGCCTGCTAAAATGTAGCAAGTACCACTTCATAAAGTAAGTGGGATAAACAAATTAGCAAATAGCCCATTTTCTACGTCAGTGGAAACAAATATACAGTGTGTTACAAAATGAAAATTTTAAAATTGAAACAGAAAAACATTTAAGCACAACAAATATCGCTGGTTTTTCACCCAATGTCTGGAAAACTAATATACAGGGTGTTACAAAAAGAAAATTATAATATTTAAAAACAAAACTCAAACTACAAGGGGGAAAACATATATTAGGACCATTTTCGCATAACTCAACGGAAAACTAATGTACAGGGTGTTAGAAAAAGAAAATTATTATTATAGTTGAACAGCAAATGTACAGTACAAACCTGAAAACACAGATCTTGATGACTTTTTGAAAAGCACCACGGGAAACTAATATACTGGGTGTTACTGAAAGAAAATCAAAAGTTCAAGGAGGAAGACAAAGGAAACATTACTTTTTTTTATCGGTTTTTCACAGAAGCACAAGGAAAATTTATATACAGGGTGAATCAAAAGGAAAAACTAATATTTATTTAGAACAACGGCTAAAAACAATACAAAAAGGATAATGCAAGATGATGAGAAGAAAACAATTACATTTTTAAAACGAATTTCTACAAGAAAAACATTACAAAAAACAGAACAATTAAGATGAAATCATTTTCCCTTTGGATAATAAGAAAAAGTAAATGGTTAAATGATATAAAAATTAAACTCAAATACTAATTTTATTGTACAAGTAAATCAGTGAGCGAGCAGCACCGTTACAAGTCGTAGGTTGCAGCGAGGGCACAGAAACGCATCCGACGGCCCGCGACAAATTTCAACAATTAATGTGTTAACCGGGATGAAAAAATAATTTATAGAGCAATCTATAAATCGATTGCAAATTGCAAATATGAATATGAGATGCCACATACGAGTATGAGATATAAACAAAACGTACTTGCACATGTTGCATCCTGCAGCGAGAGCCGAAGTAAGCAGCCGACGGCAGACTACAATCTTGAACAACGAGTATTCTAATGTGTACATTCAACGCGATAAAAGACTAAATTAATACAGCAATCTATCAATCAATTTTAAATGTAAATATGAAACTATTATAAACAAAATAAATTATTAATTGGTCTATGATTAGAATAATACATTGTGATAAATGTTGAAGTAAAGAAAACATTTATTTTTGTAGTTAAAATCATGCGTTTGTCAAGTGTTTCATGAAATTAATCAAAAATCTTTACAAAAATATGAAAACACACCTTGATGCAAAATAAATTTTTCGCTTTTGAAGTATCCAATACTTATAGGTATATTAATTACGCACATTACAGCAAACACGCGTTAATACTAGAGCACGAAACTGATTAAATTCAAAATGTAGTAGATAACGACTTTTTACATTAAATAAATATAATCGAAGAGTATCCAACGGCCGACGGTACTCGTACATCATTCACACGTAATCTTTGCAAATATACTACCCGCGTTTAACAAAAACCGCACATCACCCTCGTGCAATCGAACACATCAATTACAGAACAATTAGGAATATTACATAATAACGCAAAGAAAAGTTAAGAAATTTAAAGGTTCGCAAAGCGCACAGTTCACCGGACGATCAAAATTAGACTAACACCGTTTACAAGCCAACCGCGTGTGCCGAGAATGTGGCGACGGCACACAAGTTGAAGATAACAAAAACTTGTTTGTTTATAAACACAGATAGTAACAGTGTAAGATGCTAGAACAATTCTACATAGTATACATTGAATATTTACGTATATTATAAGGAACATAGACTGCAGATGCATCACGGCCGAAATACGTCTAAAATAGTTACTCTACGCGATAAAGAAATGCAACTAACAACACAATAAATAATGAATAATATAACTCGTGTTACGGAATTTTCTAGCAATAAATTTCAATACAGGGAGATACAAAATTAAATTCCGCATCTAAAAAAATTATTCCGAACTTAGAATTAGACGGCGTTCGCGTGTTATAACAAAAAAACTACAATTTCTAGCGCAACGAGTACAAGTGCGTATACACACAACTATCAATATAACTCGCGTTACGGAATTTTCTGGCAATAAATTTCGATACAGCGAGATACAGAATTAAATTCCGCATCTAATAAAATTATTCCGGACTTAGAATTAGACCGCGTTCGCGTGTTATAACAAAAAAACTACAATTCCTAGCGCGACGAGTACAAGTGCGTGTACACACAACTATCAATATAACTCGCGTCACGGAAGTTTCTAGCAATGAATGTCGATACAGGGAGATACAGATTTAAATTCCGCATCTAAAAAAATTATTTCGAACTTAGAATAAGACCGCGTTCGCGTGTTATAACAAAAAAACTACAATTTCTAGCGCAACGAGTACAAGTGCGTATACACACAACTATCAATATAACTCGCGTTACGGAATTTTCTGGCAATAAACTTCAATACAGGGAGATACAGAATTAAATTCCGCATCTAATGAAATTATGCCCGACTTAGAATTAGACCGCGTTCGCGTGTTATAACAAAAAAACTACAATTTCTAGCGCAACGAGTACAAGTGCGTATACACACAACTATCAATATAACTCGCGTTACGGAATTTTCTGGCAATAAATTTCAATACAAGGAGATACAGAATTAAATTCCGCATCTAATGAAATTATGCCCGACTTAGAATTAGACCGCGTTCGCGTGTTATAACAAAAAACCTACAATTCCTAGCGCAACGAGTACAATTGCGTATACACACAACTATCAATATAACTCGCGTTACGGAACTTTCTAGCAATAAATTTCGATATAGGGAGATACAGAATTAAATTCCGCATCTAATAAAATTATTCCGGATATAGAATTAGACCGCGTTCACGTGTTATAACAAGAAAACTACATACCCTAGCGCAACGAGTACAATTGCGTATACACACAACTATCAATATAACTCGCGTAAAAAAATTTTCTAGCAATAAATTTCGATACAGGGAGATACAAAATTAAATTACGCATCTAATAAAATTATTCCCGACTTAGAATTAGACCGCGTTCGCGTGTTATAACAAAAAACCTACAATTCCTAGCGCAACGAGTACAAGTGCGTATGCACACAACTATCAATATAACTCGCGTAAAAAAATTTTCTAGCAATAAATTTCGATACAGGGAGATACAAAATTAAATTATGCATCTAATAAAATTATTCCCGACTTAGAATTAGACCGCGTTCACGTGTTATAACAAGAAAACTACATACTCTAGCGCAACGAGTACAATTGCGTATACACACAACTATCAATATAACTCACGTAAAAAAATTTTCTAGCAATAAATTTCGAGACAGAGAGATACAAAATTAAATTATGCATCTAATAAAATTATTCCCGACTTAGAATTAGACCGCGTTCACGTGTTATAACAAAAAAAACAAAAAAACTACATACCCTAGCGCAACGAGTACAATTGCGTATACACACAACTATCAATATAACTCGCGTAAAAAAATTTTCTAGCAATAAATTTCGATACAGGGAGATACAAAATTAAATTATGCATCTAATAAAATTATTCCCGACTTAGAATTAGACCGCGTTCACGTGTTATAACAAGAAAACTACATACACTAGCGCAACGAGTACAATTGCGTATACACACAACTATCAATATAACTCGCGTAAAAAAATTTTCTAGCAATAAATTTCGATACAGGGAGATACAAAATTAAATTATGCATCTAATAAAATTATTCCCGACTTAGAATTAGACCGCGTTCACGTGTTATAACAAAAAAACTACATACCCTAGCGCAACGAGTACAATTGCGTATACACACAACTATCAATATAACTCGCGTAAAAAAATTTTCTAGCAATAAATTTCGATACAGGGAGATACAAAATTAAATTATGCATCTAATAAAATTATTCCCGACTTAGAATTAGA